TTTACAGAGGTAATCATGCTTAAATTTGATGAAATGCAGTTCGTTAGACTGATTTTCGATGTTTAATGTGGTAGGTACTTTTTTTGTTGTTGACGTTGTCAGGTTTGTGAGATTTGTTAGTACTCCTGAAATTCTCGAACGATTTGTAAGCATAGAAAGAGATATTATGCAGATTGAGAGTGAACAAGCTAATGGTAGTATCAATGTTGAAGGTATATTCATCAATGTGTTTGTATATTGATAGTTATTATCTCGTAAAGTAAGTTTCTTTGTTGAAGAAAAATTGGAATCAAGAAGAAATATGACTTTTTGACATAATAACTATTAGTTGAGTGACTATGTGAGACATCTATCAGGTTTAAAAGTCCTTGTTTCTTATGTATATTAGTTGATTCATTGAATTTCATTTCGAAGTTTTCTTCTCATTGACTCTTGATATTAGCAGGAAATGCATCAGCTTTTGATGGAGATTCCAAATTCTCTCCTGGTTTTTCAAAGGTATATCAATTTGTAGAGTAAATAAAACTATGTTGTATCACGTTTTTACTAGAATTTCCTACTTATTAATAACTGACATTCGATACTGAAGTCCAACGGTGAATCTAATGGTGTTGGTGATGCTGCAAAAGAAGAAAATCCCAAGTGAGTTCTTGTGTTTCTCATATCATTACTTATATGACTTAAATGGGGATTTAACTTATATGACTAAATGCTCGTTGTTATGGATAGAGTGCGTCTTCAACGCGTTCTAGAAAGCAGAAAAGCAGTTTTAAGGAAAGAGCAAGCAATGGCATATGCTCGCGCTTTGGTATCTGGCTTTGATATGGATAATTTGGATGATCTCACATCTTTTTCCAATGCTTTTGGTGCTCTACGTTTAAGGTACGTAGGACTTGAATACAACCATTTGTGACATCTAGGTAGAGACTATGAAACCTAATTTGCCTAGTCCTATGTAGTTCATTTTGTGTTTGTGCTAAATGGAGCGATGAGGTAGATTGCTAGCTAGTTACTCGTTTTGCTGCAACGTGTAAATCTCTTTGTTTATCGTACTTATTAAGATGGTAGATGATACTATTGTGAATACCTATTGAAATTATACTTTGCTTTCATCCAGAGAAGCATGCATTAAGTTTATGGAGCTGTGCAACAAAAAGAGAGATGATGGAATCTGGATGGATGAAGTTGCTGCTCTTCAAGCCTACTCTCCTTCTGAGTTTTCGTATTTTGGGAGGTCTGGAATCACGCTTGCTGCTGATGTTACTCAAGACAGTCAAAGTGTTGGCCTTTCCATCAGAAAACAGAATGATGATACATTAAGTCATGGAAGTCTGGATACTAGTCAAGGTACATATGACAATCCTCTTGCTTTTTTCGCTTGAAACTTTGTAGTATAGAGCTCACATGACGATATCTGTCAATCGCGTTTATCATGAATATGAGTCATATTATATGACATTACTTCATTACATTCTGCAGAAAATGGTTTACCACCACCTATCAAAGTTCACTCAACAGAAGGGAAATCACAACCAATGTGGCCAAACAATATGCCACCTTACATGCAAAACTATCAAAATCCTGCATTTCAACAAATTCCACCATATCCAGGGTACATGTTTTCGGGCAATCCTACTTACTATCCTGGAATGCCATGGCCTGCAAATCCGGAAGATTCTAGTCGAGGTCCCGGTCCTGAATCAGATTATAACTGGAAGAATAAACCACCTTCCAAGAACAAGAAGAAATATTCAAACGGGGATAGAAATGAAAGCAACAATTCAAGTTCTAACGGTGACTCTGATGATTATGAGGAGGATAAGAAAATGCAGCATGGGAAAATATCATCAAGAAAAGTTGTTATACGCAACATAAACTACATAGCCTCGAAGAGAAATGAACAAAGTGATCATAGCAGCACCGAGGATAGTTCGTCTGATGAGGATGGATCCACTGATGCAGGTTCCCTCAGAAAGCAGGTAGAGGAAACAGTTGGATCATGGGAGAGGCATCATAACTCAACGTCTCGGAACAAGAAGAAGCGAGATGGAAAGAAGAGAAACAACAGTGGGAGTATATCAAATGGTGTCTCTAAGGATGAAGTAACCAACATTGGTAAGAATTGGGATATCTTCCAGAACATTCTAATGCAAGATGCAGATTCAAGAACCGATGACACGGGGCCAAAAGGTGTCCAGGAAGAGTACTTGATGACAAAGAAAATGACTCCTTCATCTGATCCTCTTATTGTAAATGATAGAAACATGGGACATGGAGATGAAATCCCGCGACAAAACATGTGGGAAGAGAAGAGGCGTGGACCAGTTATTATAAGAGAGAGCACAGATGAAGAGTTGTTATTTTCGCATAGAACTCAGGAACCAAAGGGCTATCCTCAGTCTATCTCGTTGAACATTGCCACTGAACGAGTTGTCCTTAAGAGCCAAAAAGAAGAGGATTGGTTAGCTGGCAATCTACTAAATAAATCAACATATCAAGGAAAAAGCTCAGATCAAAGTATCTTTGTTGGAGATTATGCTTCAGCCTCTCATGATGATCATTTGCAAACGGGGAAAGATAAGAAAGGCGTTCAATTTGATGATTCCATTGTGGTTCGAGCCCATTCAGTTGATAATGTGTCTGATTATCACCAACAGACAGACATTTTCATGGTTTCAGACATTGTCGGAGCTGAACAAGTTAAGCACAGCATGACTAATCACGCGGAAGATAAGCTTGATCCTTCTGATGCATGTGAACCAAATGACCTTTTCATGGTGCTTGGAAGGGATTCAGCCACTGAGCAAGTTTCAGCCTCTCGAAATCCTGAAATGTATGACGAAAATGATGTCTTCCTGTCTGAAACTCTTAAGAGTCACACTGATATCAAACCTGCTTCTGCTGATACAAAGCTTCAAACAAAAGGCGAAGGAACCAACAAAAGGATCGGTAAGGACCTTGGTCGAAAGGCAGTTACCAAAGAACCAAAATCTAAACCTTCAGTAACCGGATCTCTTGGAAGGACCAAATCTGATACATCATCAAGAATTAAGAAATCACCTTCAACATTTCAGAAGAGCAAAGCTGACAAGGTATGAACACAATCTTGTACTAGATATATAGTTTTTCCTGTTCTTTTCACCTGTCATTGTTATTATTATGATGATTTAATTCTCTCTTAATGTTACTGACAGGACGAGGAGAGTCGAAAGAAATTGGAACAATCATTATTGCAACGTCAAAAGAGAATCGCAGAAAGAAGTGGTGCCACTGGTTTAACCAAACCAACATCAAGGAAGAATCCAAAAGAGTCAGCCACATCTTCAAAAATTGAGAAACCAAAACCTGAGGCTCCAACTGAGGCAACCAATAGATTACAAAAAACAGTTTTTAAGAGTTCCACTATAGAACGTCTCGCTTCTACAAGGACAGCTAAGGATCGATCCACCGAGTCAAAATCCACTCCAAGCAAGAAAGGAAATCAAAAGGAGAACAAAATGATTGCTCCAACAAAGAAATCATCTGGAAAAGAGAGTAATAAGCAAGGTCCCCGTAAGTCCAAGCCTTCGGATACTAAAGGTCATTCTTCATCTGATCATTCTCAGAAGGAAAAAGATAGCAAGAATGAGATAAACTCAATGTTAAACGAACGTGGATCAGAACTAAGTCCACAGGTATCTAATGAAGTCGTTGATGCTAAGAACACGGAGGAGGTACGTAGCATATCATTAATCGAGAAGAAGATAGATACACCTATGCTTTCTGCTGAACATTCAATAGATGACAAGAAACAAAGTCCTAACAAGGCTGTAAAGTTTTTACTGTCTGAAGTTGAAACCTCAGAAGCAGTTGACAATGTTATTGGAGTTATAAGTCCTCTGACTTCCTCTGTATCGAACGTGCATTTGGACACTCCAGTATGCCAAGACATACTCTCTAATGCAGTTTCCACCCCACCTCCAAATAATGAAATGAACCTCGAAACGAATCAAGGAAGAAGGAAATGGACAACTGATGAAAGCTCACTAAAAGTTACTAAAGGATTCAGAAAGCTTCTTTATTTTGGTCGAAAAAACTGAATTTTTTTCTTGTGATCAAGTCATGGCATTTTCTATATCGAAATTATATAGAAAGATGCATGTTTTGACATTCCTTATTACTGTGAAATTCTGTGTGATGAGTGTTGTGGTTATTGTTCAATAAAATCTTGTATCAGAAAAGAAAGATTCATTTAATTCTCTTTTTGTTGCATAACTTTATTGTTTGTATTCATGTTTGTTTTTTATGAATTTGTCTTTGCGCGACTCACTAGACGCTATTTTGACTACAACAACATATCTAGTATAGTCCACACGTAGGTCTGGGTGGGTGGGGCGTATGCAGACCTTTTCTCCCTACCTTTGTGAGTAGAGGAGTTATTTCTAATAGACACTCGTATTAATTTAATTAGACTATGCATGACTATCGAAACTCTTTAAAATGCAACTTTTTTCTTATGTTATCCCTTAACAGTAGTCCCACATCGCTTGTATATATATGTTATATGTGTTTATATACAATACATAATTTCACATATGTTGTGTTCGTAGAAAGGAGAGATGGTTGGCATCTCCCCCGACAGGGACGGGAACAGCCTTCGGGCTTTACCTGTTATCAGACACATCCGGTTAAGGCTACCCACTTCGGTGGATCTTACCCAATTTTTTTAAAAAAAAATATCATTACCATTAAAATAATATAAAAGGATATCATTACATTTTAAAAAAAAAAAGGATTTTCCGTTGCCGGGACTTGAACCCGGGCCTCTCGGGTGAGAGCCGAGTATCCTAACCAACTAGACTACAACGGAAATTGTTAAAATATTACATAGATTCTATAATATATAGTAAAAGGGGTTGCTTGGACGGTAATAGATGAAACACATGCCTACGAATATTATAAGATAGAATCGACTAGATAAAGTCATTATCAATAATTTACATAGTGTAATTGAAATAATTCTACCACCTCATCAATTTAGAAAAGGATTGATATTTTGTACTAGTCTTATACATATTTTCTCCTTTGAGATCTTTGAATTTGACAACTAAATTATCATAGTCCGGAAGCTTCGGATGGACATGAGGCGATTGTGGTTGTACTCGAGGCAATTGTTCTTCATTTTTCCCCGCAAATTCCACCTGTGAAATTACATTACAATTGTTGTTGTTGACGGTTTTATTCCTTCTGGTTCTTTTTGAAGTATAAATCTCACAATTTAAGCTTTCAACCCAGTTGTTGTCCTTAGTCCTACTAGAACTCTTAAAGCTACTGAAAATTTCATCAATGATTTGGAGCTTTACGTCTTCTTTTAGCTTTGTGACATGTGTGAGGTACTGTTTGGTCTCTGAGTTAACCATATTACCTATACGATCGTAAAATTAGTCCATAAAAATATAATTTTAGATGATTTGAGCGAATTAATCAATGATCTACTGATTTATCAATTCAATTATCCATCATTTTAATATTTCGATTAAATTTAGCATAATCCACCCATTTAATAGACTTACCTGGTAACAGTTCAACGTTGAGTCGATCAAATGCTTGACCAAAATGTTGTTTAAATAAATTCCTTAGTGAATGCAACTCTGGCAGTTCGCCACATCTCGATGCTGCAAATATCATACTGGATAATGCCTCTTGCACGTCATCAGACAATTTACTGTAGCAAAAACCAATTTTCGCGATTCGTTTATTAACTTGACCCGATAAATTGAATCCAAAATATGATTCAACCAATCAGATCGTATATAAATTCCTGACTCTACCATTAATCTTATAGCAGACTTACTAAAATATGATTCGACTCGTCAATTGGACACCTTGATGACACTTGATGAAATTGATTAATTGGAAATTAGTAATTACCTGTTGGTGCTAATATCACGTAGGTTCATAGAGATACAATCACAAAAATTGTCAAGTTGATTGTATGCAGATAATCTGCACTCATCTCTATAAAGTTGTTCAACCTTTAAACAAAGTAATTAAGGGGTGATTAGCTACTATAATTAATTAAGTGATTAATTAGAAGCTTTTCATTATTAAAAAAAATAAAATGTTAAACTTATGTGAAGAGAAAATTACTCTGGCTAAAGCTAGATGATGGTGTCCAATTTGGAGAAGTTGAGAAATGTCTTCACGTAATTGTTTTATAATTGAATTTCTTCTCTTCCTTTGTATCACTAAACGTGCCTTAAGCTGTTTGATTACCTTCTTGCTATAGAGAAAAAAACTTGTTAGTTCATCATTTAAAAGATAATTACATGTAATTACTTTGACAATCTAATAACATGATTAAAAAAAAGATAAATAAACTCTCATAACAAGTTAGATCGCACTAGAATTTGTTTGGTACACAGAATGAGATAGACAAAATATCTCATGGATGAAATATAACATGGGTTTGTTTTTCTTTCAATTATGCTTTAATAACATTTGTCTAATTTGATCAAGTCTATCGAAAACAATTTTTCTATCCTATAAAGATAAAAATAAATTTTGCATATACATTTTACCCACTTGATCAGATTCTACTTATAATATTACAATAGATATTGTTGTTGTGAAACCAAAAATAAATATTGAATCAAAATTATTAGTAAAAAAAAAAAGAGATGTTTTACCACTTAGAATGATGTCTCCATCTTGAACCTTTAATAAATTCACCAAATGAAGAGAGCAAATTATTCAACCCCATTTCATGTTGTGTTTTTTTTTTAATTGTTTCTTTGTGCTTTTACTATCAACTTCTCAATAGAGGGAAAATACAAAGGAATCCTTAAAAATCCATATAAGTTAAAAGCCAAAGAAAATATTGATCATGTACTTGAAAAAGGAAAATAACATCAATTACAATCAATTTTGTATCTTTATTTTCCATCTTTTTAAAATTCCTTTCCAAATTGACATTGGCCTTGGTGCAAAGTACGTACAAAGTAGATAAACTTAAAATCTTTGAAGACCACATACAATCAAAGATCTAATATTATTAATTGATTTATTACATTTTCTTCTACTTATATTGACATATAAAATGAGTCTTTAGAGAAATGGGTGATCAAATGAATAGATGAATTGAATTTGAACAAATCAAATAAGTTAAGTCGATAAATAAATAAATTAACAATCAATTCAAACTAAAAAAATTTGTTCTTCAAACGTATTAAATTTTCATGAATTAATTTTGTCAGCTTATAGATACTTTATCTATTTAATAGAAATCACAATTTGAGTAATAGTGGCATTTTCCCTCTCTAAGTGGAGATAGTATATGTTGGTGATTACAACATTTCAAGTCTGACAAGTTTTATTTTATTTAGCCCTCTTATTGTGTTATTTTTTGAGTAATCTACAAAGATCTTTTTATAATAATAATAATAATAATATTAATAATAATAATATTAATAATAATAATAATAATATATTGTGTTCAAGGCTGGAATTTGAAGTATTGTCCACATGGAAAGTCAATATAAAATTAAAGATTGTCTAGGAATTAGAATCAAAGCAATTGCATTTCGTTTTCTCACTTTTACTTGTCATATTTAACTCTACGTGCTTTTCCAAATATACATTCAGTGAACAAAAAGTTATAATTAGAGTTGTAATTACGTGTTTGATTCTCTTTATTCTTTTTCTATTAACGTAAGAGTTGAAAAGAGTTACACTTTGTGTGTATGACACGAGTTTTATGCCTTATACACGTAATATTAGTGTGTTCATTGCATATGGCCTTTTTGTCAAAATGAAAAAAGAATTTAATTTCTTTCATTCATTAATTTCTACACAGAATTTAAGAAAGCTATGATAACAATAAATTATATGCATTTATAAATTATTGAAATAAATTTATTCTTATTACGACGAAGTTAGATTATGTCGAGTTAAATTGAATGACTGGATAAATAAAAATGAACGGAGATATTAGATGTGAAACTTGTGTTACCACAATTGAAGGCACCGACAGTATAAAAAGCGTCAAAACTCAAACGACGACGCTGTGGTTGGTGGTTAATGAAGAGTTGTGTGAACCGTTGGGATGTCATTTTATTTGCTTTGCTAAATTTATTTATTGTTTTTGCCAGTTGTTGTTGCTGCTTCTTCATTACTCAAAACTCTCTTTAGTATATCCAGACTCCAGAGAGAGAGAAAGGAAGAGGAAGAAATCTCGAGTTTACTGATTGATTTTGGTAACAAATGGCGTCGAAGTTGTTAATGCTAACTATTTTCGTATTCGATCTGATTGCTTTTGGTTTGGCTATTGCTGCTGAGCGGAGAAGAAGCACTGTAAGAACCACTTTCAATTTCTCTTCACTATACTTATAACTGTGTTATGTTCGTTTTTCTCTGTTTCATACTGCTAATTTTAACTTTCAATTGATTGATTTTGCTTTTTCTTCTGTTAGATCTGTTCGGTTTGCTGTAAATTTTTTAAAAAAAAAATTGGGGTAGGGTTAGAGGTAGAGGTAGGGGATTTGCAGGTGGAGAATTGAACCCTCTCAACAAGGTGAAAATTCACGTAGCCAATAAGATTCCTGTGATTTCCTGTTCAATTTTAGGATTTTTGAGTATTTTCTTCTAAGATGTGGCTATTCATTGAATCCAAAAAAAGTTAAATATTGGATTAATCATTGGTCACCTGGAACTATTACTGGAATTTGATTAGAGTAATAGTGATGTGCAATTTTTAGATGAATTTTTAGCTTTAGGTAGAATGCCTTGTAATTGTGTTACTTTCATAATCTCTTCTTTGTTGAACCAATATTGGTACTTTTATCTCGTCTTTACACAAGTAAGACTCTTATGGCCTACCTATGCGAGGCGGATTCAGGATTTGAACATTTTGGGTTCGATTACAGAATTCCACCACTATTCATTTTATTTACTTACTAGGTTCGAAATACGATTTTTGTATTAATTTAGTGGAATTTTTTTATACCTATACAAAGTGTGAGCCAAACAATCGAAGATCTCAGCTCTAATGTTGTTAATATCTTAGTTCTATCAATAACAACTTAAGATAAGAGGGAAAAGACTGCAAATTAGGTTGCAATTTTGTGTTATAGTGTTATCCATGAGAACTTAAGACCAAGTTTTCTTTAAGTTGCTTTCTCATGCAATTTGGTTCAAGCTAATTAGCTTTTCGTGTGTCACTTGATTGAATATATCCCTTCATTTGTAGGCAAAAATCAAACAAGATGGTGAAGATGAACAGAGCTATTGCGTCTATGACTCCGACATAGCAACTGGATTTGGTGTTGGTGCTTTCTTATTTCTTATGCTTAGTCAAATAATTATAATGGTGGCGAGCCGTTGCTTCTGTTGTGGAAAGGCTTTGAGGCCTGGAGGTTCAAGAGCTTGTGCTGTTCTCTTATTCATCATATGCTGGTAAGTATAATAACAAGCAAAAAGTGTCTATCTTGCTTCCAATTCAGTGACTTAAAAAAGGGTATTTGCCACATTAAGGAAGTCGATTTCTCTTTCAATGCTAAATCGTGTGACTTGTGAGTAACGTTTTATTGTACATACATTGTAAAATATTATGTATTTTTTGTTTCAGGGTTGCATTTTTCATAGCTGAGGTCTGCTTGTTGGCTGGTTCGGTTAGGAATGCTTATCATACCAAGTATCGAATATCATACTTGACGAGTGATAAACATCTATCATGTGAGACTTTGAGAAAAGGAGTTTTTGCAGCTGGAGCAGCTTTCATTTTCTTCACCAGCATACTCTCTCAGTTCTACTATGTGACCTACGCCAAGGCGCGAGGTGGCCCCATGCCATATGGTGGTGAAGCCGGCGTTGGCATGGCAGCCTACAAATGAGGGTGATCAAGGTCGTTGTTACGTTTATATGTTAAAAAAAAATAGTTGTGATTTTGAAGTTTATGTATAATACAACTTTCTATTGCTTAGTTGCAAAGTTCATTGTACCATATTCCTTCTGCATAAATTTTTTGTTCTGTCACTTAGTGTGAACTTTCGTCTGCAAACATCTCTTAGATTTGAGATTAAGAGTGAACTGTTTTTTTTTTTCTTTCTTGAACCAAGAAGAAGTCTATGTGGCAAGGTCCTTCTTGTTGTATTTCATAAAAATGGCGTGAGACGGGCTTAAATAGAGTGATCCGTACATTCAACTTGTGGGATTAAATAGAGTGATCCGTACATTCAAACTTGTTTGTGATTGATGCGAAGCATTAGATGTGTACAAACGAGATATCCAGTAAAGGCAATGATTTGAGAATAGAAAAGCTCCATCCATGTTTCGCTCGCTTATATATTTTCTTCTGTGGACGATACACAATAGCCAATAACAATAATGTCTCAGTCCCAAACAAATTGATGACGACAAGCAATAGCCAACAATAATGTGCCTTAGTCTCAAACAAATTGGAGACAGACACATTGTATCTCGATGTTGGTCAATTTAACAAATTGATTATGACATGAGAACTGAAAAGATAATATATCAAACTTTAATGTGAACCAAAATAAGCTAAACAGCCAACAACAACAATAATGTACAGTGAAATTTCACAAGTGAGGTCTGGGGAGAGTAGAATGTATTCAGAGTCGCAGACTTCACCACTACCTCAAGGAGGAAAATAAGGAAAAGAGAAAAACATATAATACTTACATTATTGAATAAATTTCAACTCAACTTTAATTTATGTGGACTTCTAGAGTCGCAGAATTTGTTCAAGCAGACCTTGGGCTTAAAGCCTTAAACTGGGTGGAAACCTCTACTTTTCTAGAATTATTTGCAAATTAATTTAGTATTATGATATTAATTAGTTATCAGATATCTATGCATATGTATTTTACACTCTCACTAAGTTTTAATGTCAAGTTACTAAATTATCCATATTTACCACACTTTGAAAATCTAATTTTTTACTACAGGTATTCCAACAAGTATGAGAAATGGTTACTTAACGGCAAGAGTAAAATGGAGAAAAAATAATTAATTCTCTCTTAATTTGCTAAAATTAGCATATACTGGACAAGTCAAAGGGATCGAAGAAAGTATTTTATGCTTCATTATTGTTGTTAATTATAACAACTTCTTGGGCTGGCGCCTGGGCTACTAAGTATTGAGAACTTTTACAAATATCCACTAAAATAATTTTAATTATGTTTTCATAGCTATAGTTTGCTAATTACGATTTGTAGCTACATGTTAGAGGGAGGAGAGAGGTCAGCGAGATTGGGAGAGTGATGAGAGAGGCGAGCGAGAGAGGACATAGAGTGGAGAGAGGCGAGTTGTATATGTATATATGTCAGATAATTGTATATATGGAACTGATATACATATGCATTTGTATATCTGACAAGCGAGATTGAGAGAGGGAGGAGAGAGGCGAGTGGGAAAGCGCAGAGAGTGGAGAGAGACGATTGCATTTATATATCTGTCATATAATTATATATGTACGTATAATTTGTATTTGTATATGTATAAGCGAGGAAAGAGGAGAGAGGCACACGTAATTACAGCTAAAATTAAGCTGCGAGCCATAATTAATTTAAACTATAACTATGTTAGCTAATTAACTAGTATATGTTTACTTACCCACGTAATTTCCCCTATCTCAAAATGTTTGGTCCTTCAAACACCCATTTTGTGTCTATAAAAGTTGTGTTCATCATTATGTTCCCATTTATTAGTTGGAATTTTTCCTTTTTATTTTCTTTTTCTTTT